AAAAATAAGACGGAATCTACACGATACCGTCTAACCTCTTCCTTTGTACTTAGTCTAGTGGCACTCGCCTACAGGGGCCCATGTGCGGAAGCCTTGCACCTAACTCGCAGGATTAGAGCTCCCAAGGCAGGGCCGCCTGGCGCCCACCGCACGCAGAAGCACCCCGCGCCACAACACAACTCAAGATGGCGGCGGGGGCCGTGTGCAGAGACGCTGCGCCGGGCACTGCGATCTGGAGCCGCCCGCAGCGCCGCTGCGACCGCCAGGCGAGAACCCGCCCCCGCCTCGCTGACGAGACCCTCTAAAGCAGCCCCGCCCACAGCCTGTGAGCGGGAACCTACACTCGAGATCCCGAGCTTGCACCTCTTCATTCTCTGACTAAAGAATGAAACTTTTCCTTGTCTCTGAGATGAACTCAGTCGTGTTCTCTTGCTGAAGGAGACACCGGTCAGGAGGACCCTTGCTGGAGCCCAAGTCCAAAGGGTCCGTAACAATGGCAGGAGATTGAAATGAAGACTTCCCTTCTTCACCAGTTCTGCGTACCGAGATGTAAGTGTGACTTTCCTTTCTTTGTAGTTTCACATAATCTGGAGGGTAAAATGCAAGCGAGGAGACGTAATTGTAACACTCTCCTCATGGCAAACATTAAGAAAATCAGAATAACTCTCTCATTAGAAAGAGTTCTCTAATTAGAGGGATTCTTTTACCCTGACTCCAAAATAAGATTTTTTAATGATAATCCTCTAAAATATGTTCTTAAATTTTAAAAGTGAAATTGAAATTTTTTTGATGATGATTTAAAAGTGGACCAATTAAAAAGGCTTGTAAATGAGACAAAGAAAAAGGAGGAGTAAGAATGGGAGGGCTTACAACCCATGTAAATATTCTCAGTGATAATGTTTGCTTTAAGGAGATTTGAAATCATCCATCACTTAAAATATTTACTGATACATGAATATATATTAAAATTACACACAAATGAAAAAGTTTAAAAGGCTCCTACATTTTAACGTATTGGATTCTAAATCTTCAGGTAAGTTTTTAACATTTAAGAAAGCAAGATGTATGTTCATATCATGTATTTTCAGGTTAGGTTTCTTATGGAACTCAATAACATTGAATGATATAATCACGGAGACTGAGGAGACAAAAATATATAGCAATTAACCTTATGACCAGTTTATGTCACAGGTTTCTCATGAGATTTACACAATCACGCAACATATGCACACAAATTTTCCACGTAATCCTAATGGGATTTAACTTTTCAATAAGTTAAAATGTGCTTATTTTTCATTTCAGAATCCCCATCATAATGCATAAGAGATAATAGACATTCAATGAATGTTTGAATAAATTAAGGAGAAAAAGTTAAAATTCAGTGGCATTAAGGAAAAAAATTATTTTCTCAGAGTTAATGGAGATTATAGCCAGAAGAAATTTTATCGTATATTCAGCCATTTATTTTATTGTGGTCTCCAAAATCAAAATACACATGGAAAATCTAAACTTCAGTAAATAATTCTGTCAAAAAATTTTCCAAGTATACAGCCTGATTTATTAAAGGTTACAGAGCTAAAGGATGAGAAGGGCACATACAGGGACACAGATGCAGAGACATAAACACTTTCAAACACATAAAATTATGGAACTCAATGGAATAATATATTCATATCAATACAATCATATCCACATTAACAAAAAAATCAAAGAGTATTCTCAGGTAAGGATAGAGAATTTGACTAATTAGTTCTTATGAATTGAACAGTTTTATAATAATAGTTAAAATATGAATTATCAGCAATGAGTATACACATATATACTCAATAACTTTTTAAATTCATTCATTATTCATAATATTGTTTCTCAAATTATGAATTGCATGTATTCCAGGATTACCGTTTAGACTGGCTCTCTTGGTATTCCAAATAAAAATTTTTGCATAGAACAATGTCTTCTAAGTGGCTTATTTGTTATATTTAAAAAACCAATAAAATTTCTTCTTTCCCAAGTGCCTTTTAAACATTGAAATATCTTTATGTCTTATCCTTTGTGGTTTTCCAAACATTCTCTTCCTTAATGTTTTCTATTTGAAAACTGGATAGAAAAGGGCATAACATGTATTTTATACTTACTTTTAACTGAGATCCATTTTAAAATTTCACCTGAAATGTTCAAAGTGACTATGAATGACTAAGCCAAAACTTTTTTAAATGTTTGTTTTAATATTTTTTATTATAATAATGGAAAATAATTAAAAGCTTAAAAAACTAGTAACTGCTAATAATCAGTTATCAACTTTCACTTTCTCATTCTCTTTCAGTCCTCATCTAAATACATAATTTTACTTAGTTTGTAACCATAACTGTTGGTTCCCAAACTGGCCCCTGTACACAGAGAACAAGGAGAGACTGAAGAAAGAGGCAGACCACTCCAAACTGGTTGGTGGCAGTTTTCATAAACGAGAACTTGCACACGGGACTTGTGTTGGGTGGCTGCAAGAACAGATCTCCGCCAGAATCTTAAAAGTTTATTTAAGGCCTTAACTGGGTTCAATCACATATACTGTCCAGTTGATCCCAGCAATACATTGCTCTCTCAAGGCCATGGCTTTGAAAACAGCTCCCACTGTGGGAACGGTGGGCAGAACACACACTCCAAAGACAGAGGAACCAACAAGGGACCTCCACTGCCCAGGTCCAGCTTGCAGGTCAACTGGCAGTCATGTCCTTTCCATGACCTCCTCCAACAATATAATACAAATTTGGATTCTGCCTTATTCACCTTATATTTTAACTTTTAACATTTTATGCTGCTTATGATAATTATTAAAAGGTTTTAACTTTTCATTTAGTTTATATGTCAATGCATCCATTAATATTTACTTAAAATGAGTTTTTAAATATTTCTCATTTCACTCCAATGGTTAGTTGATTTTTTAAATGATAGCTTTTAAAGTGAACACTTAGATTTATAATAAGAAAAAAAGAAGGTACTTTCAGTTTTTTAAAGTGTTTTTGTGTCCGTCATCACAAATGTTAGATATACATGGCAGACACTGTCAAACACATGAAATTATGGAATTTAAAAAGAAACTTAGAGTTGTAACTTCCATATAGCCCCTTTCTATGGCATCTTTCTTCTACATAGTTTTTTAAAGCTACTACTCTATGTCTTTCCTTGATACTTCTAAACATCTCATTGCTTAAAAACTGAAACTTTTATGAAAACCCCTTTTTTGTATAACTTAAAGTCTGCCTTTATAAAGCTCATATTCACACTTCTCTAGCTGGTATGATTTTTTTTTTGCCATGAACTCGAGTGTATCCCCCAAAAAAGTAATTTTCTTAATTATGTCTCTTTCAAGCCCCCATCCTGCCTAATTATAGCAGCTGTACACACTATTCTTGGTAGGTTTAGTCAATCTAGCTTTATTAGGCAGTTTGGGGTTTTAAAACTCAGTCAAGTTACTATATTCCTCCCTGTTCTCTACGTTCCAGGTGACCTAGCTTATATAATGTCAAGCACTGGGGCTAAGGGACTGATCTACAGTCATCATCTGTCCAGGTTATCAACTCCTGAGATGCACATTGCCCATCTGCAGGCATTATCAACCCTCTACACCTGTCCTCTCAGAAGCCTTGGTTCCAGTCTTGTCTCAGACTCAGCAGATCATGCTGCTAACTGTTGGCAGCCTCCAACAGGTCAGTCAGCTTTCTCACGTTCATTTCTGCACACTGCTTAGAGCCATGGAATAAATAGGCTACTAGCCCCCACAGTCATCAAACTCAACAAGGACCCTACCTCAGGGTGTCACAGCCTTGATACAATGTGAAATCTCCCTATTCAAGGGCCAAGCACCGTGATGGCACAAAGAACTCAGCAAGGTGCAAGATCCCATGACTTCATGATGATAAAGCAGTACATTTTGAGAAGATCACAGGGAGAATGTAAGGATTGACCTATCTTAAAGGATGAGTAGGATTTACAATAGCTAAATAAAAGAACTTAATAGATATTTTGAAGAAAGTTGTAAAAACGTAGTCTGGAATGCTCAAATAAACACAATCAAAGTAGAAATTGTTAGAGAATTCAAATGTATCTGATCCAAGGTCTCATTAATAATTGATATGAGAACTGCCATTATGGTTATTTTTCATTCTAATACAAAGATAATTAGTCTGATTACCTTTCCCTTCGCATGTTTTTTGGGGAAAAGGAAGTAGCATAGGTAAAACAATGATTCTCCTTGATCGTATAATAAGTTCGTATCTCTTTAACAAAGACTGTTACCCAGGGAAGCCTTTCTCCAAGTTTATACTGCTGGTCGCTGGCCTCTGGCTGGTGGCTAAACATTAGAATGTGTTTTATCTGTTCTCCATGCCAGTATCTGCTAAGAACCAGAATGCTATCCAAAACTTTGAAAAATGACTAGTTAAACCCATATATATATGCTTTTAACAAAAAAATCAACACCCTTTGGGTTTCAGGGAATAAAAACTCTTAGTGAGTGCTAGTATTCTGGTAGCAGTAAAAATTTCAGGGAGGAATTCATAAGGGATGAGATATGTCGAAGGAGGCAAGTTACAAGTTGGAGAGTATTCAGATCCTAATGGAGGGTTAGAGCTGGGAGAGTCATTGGCCTTCCATCAAAAGGCAATAAAGAAACTGCCGCAGTCTGGACAGTAAGAAGTGCAGCTGCCCTCTCCAGATTCACTAAATGCAGAACTGAGTGAAGACTGACTATCCTCAAACCAGGTGACCTAATTCCTTCCTCAGTCATAACAACTGAGAGTTTTAAATTTTGCCTCTACTTGGGTCATCTGATTATTTATTACTTATGAAGCAGCATATATATAGCTAGTGTTTTGCTAACGCACAATTAATTAGGAAATCCTCAAAGTGCTTTGAAGATGAAAATTTGTGAGTGCTAAGTATTTTCATTAGACCATTATCATAAAGCACATAAAAGTTACAGGATCTTGTAAGCTACATAGGTGGAGAATGACTGTGCCACACGGCACTCGGGGAGAAGATGGCAAAGGGACAGCCTCTGCGGAGAGAGCAGGCATGGACCGTGCTGCAGAACAGGTGGGCTCAAGGGGGCTGGGCAGCAGGACGGCTTGCCATTGCTCCTCAGGGAAATTTTCTGAAGGGACCAAATTAGTGAAAGTTGCTTTATTTGTATTTTAAAGTCTCAAAATGACCCTTTGTGGAAATAAAAGAAAATCAAGAATAATTAGGATGGATAAATTTTAGAGTCTGTTTTGCTTGGTAGTTTTTGTGAGAAATCTTTCCATCACAATTATAGCATTCATCAAAAGTATTTGTATAATTGCTGAAATTCCTGAAGTAAAATTGGGGGATTTACTTTTAAAAAGATAATTTCACTTTGAAAATTGAAAGAACACAGGATAGTTATATGTATCAGTTTCAATAGTGTGTGTCAATATAGAGACATTAATGCTTGCGTTCACAATATGCTTGCTATTTTACCTAACTGGTAGACAGAATTTTAGGTCTTAATATCTAATTATTGAAACAGCACATTGCTTCACTGCCACACATTTTTAGTAGTGTGATTTAACATTTCAGTTGGAAACAAAAACAAGAGAGGATTTTCTTTCTGTCCAATAGCAGTGCCATATACTTATAGATAGCAGTTGGCTCAAAAATTAAAGAAATGTTCTGACTGTTTCTGTGGGACACACAGATGGATAAATAATTTTTTATTCTTAAGCTAATCAAATTAGCACACAGGAAAATGTTCACATGCACATTGCAGTCCTTCCTGTCACTTCAAAATGCATGCCTTGATAAACCTATTGAGCCTGACTCATTTTTTAACAAAATCTTTAGACAACTTTTCTGGTTTTGATATCTTGCCAATATTTAGATTCTAGGTGAACAGTACAAAATTGGGCAGAATGTAACTTCTCGATGAACAACTTTGTCATTTTACACATTCACATTAATATTTAGATTAATTAGCTGTAAGAGAACCCCTGAAATCTTGTCTCTTAAACTGTGATGTTAATCCATAAGATTTAATTAACAAAAACCAGTAAAAATGTTTGCTATTGGCTCTAATTAAGGTGTTTTTTGTCCATGTTAACTTGCTCAGCTCCTTATGCTCCATAAACAGTATGTGAGAAATGTGTAGATAGACTGTGGTTTCATCCTTTCAAGGAAATAATAATTTTTTAAGTAAAACTCTCTGGCAAGCAATACTTTCTGAAATTGCTAAATGATCCTCAGTATCATTACCACCTTACCATTATTACACCTGAATGGCTTCAAGATACACTTCGTTGATAGATAACACTGGAAAATTAAGGCATATTGCTAAAATCAAATGAAGTTTTTCTATTCCTCATGTCAACTCCCACCTAAGACCCCAATTCTGTTGAATAAGGGGTCTATTTTTCAACCAACATCTCATATAATAACACTATGAAAAAATTGAATTTAAATGTCTCACATTGTATTTTTAGAAAATATTTTAAAGAATCTGGATGCTGACAAAGTTTAATTTTCCTTTTGAATCTAGGAATTACACACACACACACACAAAAATTATACTCCAAGTTATTTGCCACATCAAATTTCATTCTCCACTTTCCACATTTTTTTTTGAGACTTATTCCATGGCAAGCTGTGTTAAGTAAAATAGGCAGACATACCCATGGGTATGGAAGGGGATGCTTTAGGATAATGCTCATTTACAGGAATTTGAGTTACCAGGGTTTTACCTCATCATTTAGTCTTTTCTTTTTCCAAAACTTTTGTACGCTGTTCTAGACTCAGTAAGCGAGTTGGTCATATTGAAAAGTGTTTTCTTCTAAACTTTTACATAGTAAGATGTATTTAGTGTTTTTTATTTTATTATCTACCAAAAGAGTTCATGAGCATCACAATTCCATGGAAATATTGAGAGATTAATTTTATGTGCAAGATGCACATATAATTTTGACAAAATAAATAGTCAAAGTTTTTTTTTAAGTAAAATGAAATTTCTAAAAAGATTAAGATTTCGAATATTACCTGCATTGGGGATCTAGTAAATATGTCTTCAGGGACTATCATCTATTCAGGGAATGACTAAAAAAATAAATTTTCTGATAGATATTTGATTTTGCAAATAAAATTAATGTGAATGTTTTAAACTAATCAACATTTAGTATAGTCATTTTGATGTATCTTGAAATACATATTAGAAACATCTTTCACACACACAAACGTACAAACATACCTACAATATTATATGTATGGATATATAGTATATAAAATATGATATGTGATATAAATAAAATATATGAAAATATAAATGTGAAGTATTTATATTACTGTAACCTAATATATATGTGTGTATATATATATACACCAAACATAAAACATCAAAATATATTATGTACTGAATTGTGTCCCCTCAAACTTCATATATTGAAGTCCTAACAGCTGATACCTCAAAATGTTACTGTATTTCGAGATAGGATCGCTAAAGAGGTAATTAGGTTATAAGATATGTCATTAGGGTAAACCCCAATCTAATATGACTGCTGTTTTATAAGAGGAAATTAAAACATAGATATGTGCAGAGAGAAGACAATGTGTTGCCATAAGGAGAAAAAGTCATCTATAAGCCAAGGACAGATGCCTCAGAGGAAACCAAACATACTGAAACATTGATCTCAGATTTCTAGCCTCCAGAAGCCTTCTGAAGGGTCTTTTGATTAAAGTATTAAAAGGCAGACCTGAGCCCTAAAATAGTCGTAGTTACTTTAGATGTAAATAGTCTAAGTATACCATTAAAAGACAAATATTAATAGCATGGATTAAAAAATATATCCCAATCATATGTTGTCTACAAGAATCTGACTTTAAATTAAACAATATAGGTAGATTTATAGTAAAAAGTTTACAAAACAGCCTATCATGTAACATTATTTAAAGCATTACTCAAAGGAAAGCAGAAGGTGGCTATATTAACACTGGATAAAGAAGTAGACTTCAGAGCAAAGAAAATTACCAGAGTGGGTAATTTACAATAATAAAAGAGTCAATCCACCATGACAACATACCAATCCTAAAACTGTATGTACCAAACAGAGCAGCAAAATATGTGAAGAAAAAAACAAAATAAATAAAAAATTCAAAATTATAGGCTTCAACATTGCTTTCTAAATTGTTGAACATCTATACAGGAAAACAAGATATAGAATAACTCAACAGTGCCATCATCAACAGGCCCTTAGTGTTTACAGAAAATTCCAACAACAGCAAGACATGTTCTTTTTAAGGGCCCATGGACCATGTGGCAATATATATCATATTCAGTGCCATGAAACAAAATTGAACAAATTTAAAAGAATTGAAGAATCATATATAGTATGTTTTACAACCACAGTGGAACCAAACTAGAAGTCAGTTTTTAAAAAAGGAATATCTCAAAACACTTGGAAACTCAACAGCACATTTCTAAGTAATCCATAGATCAAAGAGAAATTCTCAGTGGAAGTTTAAAAAAAAATACATAGAATGAAAATGTAAACGAACACATTGAATTTGTAAGAAATAGCTGTAACAGTGGTGAAATGGAAACTTATAGCATTAAACGCATGCATTAGAAAGGAGTAAAATCTCAAATCAATAAGCTCCCACTGCAAGAACTTAGAGTAAAAGAGCAGCAGAAGGATGGAAATAACAAAGATAAGCACAAAATTAATGAAATGAAAACAGAAAAATAAGAAAAAATAAAACAAAATAATGGTTCTTAGAAAATATCAATAAAATTGGCAAGCCTCTGGAAAACTGACAAAAAAGAGAAGACAAAAACTACCAATCTCAGGAATTAAACAGGGGCTATATATAGCTACATACATGTAAACATCAAAAGGATAAGGGAATACTACCAAAAACTGTACACAGATAAATTTGACAATTTAGACAAAATTGACCAATTTTTTGAAAATCACAAACTATCCCAACTCAAACAATATGAAATAGATCACTTGAACAGACTCATAACTATTAAGGAGATTGAAACTGGAATTTAAACATACACCCATTAAAAAATCTAGTGTGGTTTATGCCAGGGGTGCAAGGCTGTTTCAATATTTTTTAAAAAGTAATATATCCACCGTATTAACAAACTAAAGAAGAAAAGTCACATATCACTGTATGTCAAAAAGCATTTGACAAGATTCAACACTATTTCATGACAAAAACTCTAGGAAAAATAGGAATAGAGAGAAACTTTCTCAACTTGAAAACAACATCTGTAAAAAACTTACAGATAGCATAATTAATGGTGAAAGACTAAATGCTTTCCCACTAATATCAGGCATAAGACAAAAATGTCCACTCTCACGACCCTTATTTAATATACTGATAGAAGTTTTGGCCAGAGCAATCAGATAAAAAAAGGAAATAAAAAGCATACAGATTAGATAGTGATAAATAAAACTGACACTATTTGTCAATGGCAGATTGTCTACATAGAAAATCCCAAGGAATCTTGAAGAAAAAATAAAAAACAGAAATTCCTAGAACTAAAAAGTGAGTTCAACAAGTCATAGGATGCAGGATAAACTGAAAAAATAGATTGTGTCTCTATATACTAGCAATGAATAATGGACTTTGAAATTAAAACATAATACCATTTACAGTTGCTAAAAAAAAGAGAAAGGACTTTAAATGTAAATCTAACAAAATATTTATAGGATTCGTATCCTGAAAACTACACAACACTGAAGGAAGAAATCAAAGATCTAATCAAATGGAAAGACTATGTTCATCGATTAGAAGACTCAGCATAACAAAGATGTTAATTATCTCCAAGTTGATATACAGTTTTACTGCAGTGCCTATCAAAATCCAATCAAGGTTTTTGTTTAGATATACACAAGATTATTTAAAGTTTATGTAGGCAAGCAAAGAAACTAGAAAGCTAAAAACACATTTTCACAAAAAAGATGGAGTGGCAGGAATCAGTCTACCTGATTTTAAGACATTATATAGCCACAGTAATGGAGATTGGGTAGTATTGAAGGAAAAAAGACACAGATCAGAACAGAAGAGAACTCAGAAATAGACCCATGTAAATATGCCCAACTGATTTTTGACAAGGGAACAAAAGCAAGTCCATGGAGGAAAGATACCCTTTTCAGCAAATGGTGTTGGAGCTATTAGCTGTCCAAAGGAACAGAAATTAACTTCAACCTAAGATTCTTACCTCATATCAAAGTTAATTGTCCGTGAATTATGGCATAAAATACATACAGTTTTTAGAGCAAAAAAGTCAGAGAAAATTTGGCATCTAGGTCTAGGCAGAGTTCTTAGATTTGACACCAAAAATACGATCCATAGGAGAAAAATTTGAGAAATTGGACTTCATCAAAATTTAAAAATTTTTCTCTGTGGAAAGCTATTAAGAAGGTGAAAAGACAAGCTTAGAAACTGGGGGGAAATTATTTGTAAAACACAAATTCTACAAAGGACTAGTATATAGAGTATATAAGCAATTCTCAAAACTCAATGATTAAAAAAAGGACAATCCAATTATTAAATAGACAGAAGATATAAACAGACATTTCAGAGAATAGAGGATAACAAGCACACATGTAAGAATGTTCATCATTAGTCAATGCAAATTAAAACCAAGAGAGATATCTCTGCATCCCTATCAGAATGGTTAAAATTAGTGATAAGAAATGTTGACAAGGATGCAAAGAAGCTGGATCACTTACGCATTGCTGGTAGAAATACAAAATGTTGCAGTGACTCTGGAAAACAGTTTGGCAGTTTCTTAAAAAGTTAAACATACAACTACCATATGACTTAGCAGTTGCACCTCTGGACATTTATCCCAAACAAATGAAGACATATTCATGCAAAAACTCCTATGTATATAGCACCTTTATTCCTAACAGCCAAAACATGCAAACGATCCAGATGTCATTCAGTGAGTAAATGATTAAACAAACTGTAGTGCATCTATACTATGAATTACTTCTCAATTTAATTTTTTTAAAAAAAGGACTATTGATAATATATAACAATCTGAATGAATTGCCAGAGAATTTTGCTGAGTAAGAACAAAATTCAAAAGGTTTCACATTTTATTATTCCATTTATATAACATTCTTGAAATAAAACTGTACAAAAGAAGAACACATTAGTGGTTGCCAGGATTAAGGAGGGCAGTGGGACTGGAGGCAAATGGATGTGACTTAAAAAAGGGCAACACGAGGGACCTTTGTATGAAAATCTTGCTATCTTAGTATCTTGGCTGTATCAATGTTAACATCCTGGTTATAATACTGTTTTGCAATTTTTACCATTGGGGAAAACTGGATGAAATGTATGAGGGATTTCTCTGTATTATTTCTTACAACTGCATGAGAGTCTAATTATCATGAACTAAAATGTTTAAAATATTTGAAAAATACACACACTTCTCTTAGGTAGAACATCCAATAGGACAACAGACCCAGTACCTTCAATAAGTCAGTATACAAAAAATCTTAGAAAGGAAGCAGAGTATGCAAGTTATTCTAGATTAAAAGAGACATAAGAGAAATAATAACCAAATGTAATGTGAAGCTTTTGATTTGATTTCTGTTCAACAACAACAACAGCAAATTGTAAAAGGCATTTTGAGGACATTCTGAGAAAAAGAAACACTTGAATATGAACTTGGTATTAGAGTATATTAAGGAATTATTGCTAATTTCATTAGAGATGATAATGGTAATTTTTTCAATGCCCTTATTTTTTGGATGGAAAAAATCTAAAGTGATTTTTCCTTTGTGAATGTCATTATATAATTATTTTTCTATGACTATTTTAAATTGCTTCAGAAAAACAGAGGAACTCTTGCAAAATGTCCACAGTTTTTAAATCTATGTGATGGATAAATTGAGGTTTATTAAACTATTCTCTCTACTTTTAAATACATTTTAAATCATCCATATTAAAATAAAACCTCTCTTGATCCCATTTCCTTCACCATGTATATACTCCCACTTCTTTACTCACCTTTTCAGCAAAATCTTTGAAAGTGATCAGTGGTCACTGTCTCTAACTCCTCTGCTTCCATTCTCTTTCAAACCATCTCTAACCATTCTCATGCCCCTTCCACTCCTAAAACTTCTTGCACAAAGTCACCAATTACCTCTATAATGCTAATCCAATGGTCGATTTTCAGTACTCACTTGCTCTTCTTATTTATGAGCCATCAGCAACATCTGACACATTTGATCCCTTATCTAATCCTTCATGCACTTCTGTTGGCTCCCAGGACATCACTTTCTCTTGATTTTCCTGCTACTCACTGTTGCGTCCTCTCAGTCTCCTTTCCTTAGTCTTTCTCTTCTCCTTGATCTCTTAACATGGGAGTGTTTCAGCAGCCATCTCTTGGTCTCCTTCTCTAGCTACACTTACTTCCTTGATAATCTCATCTAGTCCCAGAGCCTAATCTATATGTTGAGGAATGTCAAATGTATATCACCAGCCCAGACCTCTATCCCAAACCCCAGACTTGCATATCCAACTTGCATCTCCACTTGGATGACTAGTGAACATCTAAAGCATAAAACTGAACACATAATCATTCCCTCAAAACCTGCTGTATCAACAGCCTTCCCATCTTTGATGATAACTTCCTCCTTCACATCCTCAAGCTGAAGAACTGGAAATCATCCTTGACACCTTTTTTCCACTCGCATTCCACCAATTAATCAGAAACTCCTATCAACTCTATATTCAAAATATATTCAAACTTCAACCCCTTCTCATTTCCTCCCCCTCCACAACTCTGTGCCAAGCCAACTTCATCTTGTGCTTCAATTATTATAATCATTTTTACTCTTGTTTCTCTTTTTACCACCCTTATTCTCTATAATTAACTTTCCACAAACCAGTCAGAGGGATCTCATTAAGAAATTAAGCCAAATTATCACAGTCTTCTGCCTAAAACCCTCCAAAGCTCACATTTAACTCAGAGGAAAAGAAAAGCCAAAATTATTACAATAACCTACAAGTCCCTAGATGGTCTGGGCCCTGTTACCACTAAGAATTACTCCCTTACTACTTTTCCCCTCATTCACTGCTCTAGCCACACTGCCCTCCCAACATGCCCCTTCCTTCAGGGCCTTTATAGAGTTGTTCCCTCTGCCTGGAACATTCCAGTTATCTGTACAGCTAACACCATCATCTGTTTCCAGTCTATTCGGATTTTTCCTTCTCAGTAGGCCTTATCTGACCACTCTGTTTAATTTTGTATCTCACAGACCCACATTCCTGATCTTCTTCACCTATTTCTACTTTTCCTACAGCACTTAATATCTTTTTACCAGTTATGTATTTTATGTATTAATTATACTTTGCTTGCTGTCTGTCTCTCCCTCAATAAAATGTAATCTCCATAAAGAAAGAGATCTTTGTTCCTACAACTGTGTCTAGTAGGTCATCTATAAATATTTGCTGAATGAGTGAATATTTAGTATTATATTATTTATATGTACTGAAAAATAAGCAGGACAAATATTAATTCACTAGTTTTACATATTGATTTCCAGGCTCAGCAATCCATTGAATCCATAATTAATGTAAAACAATACATTTTTAGACTTAATATTAAGTCCCTATTTACTTCTGAGAGTATCCTGTATTTTGCTCATATTAACAATTGCTTCCCTGTCCTTTCTGCCCAGAAGACCAGAATCAAACACAAAAATGAAACTCACAAGGTGTGGAAAGATTACCTTGGGTATATTAATGATGGTTATTGCTGCAGTAATCATTGGACTGATTGTTTATTTTGTCACTTACGGTGAGTACTCAGTATGTCTGACTCTTTAATCCCACAGAATTATTGGTTCTATCATTGGAAAAATTCGGAATTTTGAAAAATGAGAGAAAGAAAGGAATCAGACAAGATTATTAGACAGAGAGAATTTCTTATGTTTAAGACATTTAAAGAGACTGTTATTTAGAGACCTTTGGTTCAGGGCATACTAAACCCAAAGATTTGGTGTATTCTTCTTTTTTTTTTTTAACTCCTGGTAAAGATTTAGGTTCTGGGAATACATTACTAAATCAAGTAGTCACAGTCCCTACCTTTGCTGAACTTACAACTTTCTGAAGAGATAATCAGTGAGTTATCAAGAAGCCTTGAATATGAGATTCTAAACTAAGATTTCTTATTCCAAAGCCTGTAATTTTTTCTCTATACAGAATTCTCTTCTCATAAAATTCTTTCTAGACAGAAGAGTATTCCCTATTACTGAGGGATGAAATTTAAAAGATCTGTACAAGTTTTTCTATATATTTTGTATACAATAAAAAAAATTACGGTATCCTCAAGATCGATTTTTCTTAAAAATAGCTCTTTGTCCAAGTTCTCTGTCCTATTTTTTATTACTTTCTTTAATCCACCCTTTCCTATCCTTTTTAAGGATGAGGGCCTTTTTATAGGAAAAAAATTTTTTTCCTATGTTCACACAAGAAAATACTTTGTTGATTACAAAATAATGACAAATAAGGAATATAAATTTAGTAATTCTTTTAAGTTAACCTATAATAAATCACAGCTACATATGTTTGAAAATCAGTAATACATATATGTACAAAAATCCTTTATTAAGTCTAAGTTCAATTCCTGGTATAGATATAATTTTCCCTAGAATCATCTTCTGCCACCCTACTTTTATCCTGTATAATTCATGGCCTACAAAATGGGAACTACTGCTTTTTAAACCATGGCAGTATTTTCTGGAAAAATACATTTAGAAAGGAGGCTTTCTGGCTAAATAAACATCCATTTCAGTTTTTATAAAAGGAAAAGGATTTACATAGAGTGAAATAGAATTGTACACAGTGGAGTAAAGAGGCCATCTCCCCTTGGGAGTAAGACTAAGTGTCTTAATACTATCTGTTTCATCTTCCATAGACAGAGGCTGTTTGTGTGAACAGTCTTTAGGTAGATTATAATGCCAGCTGTTCCCTGGCCAAACCAAGAGTCATAGTTGTAGCATATGCCTATAAACCTCTGAGTAAGAGGTGCTCACTCAAGACACAGAATTTGCTGCCTTTCATCAAAGGTGTAAAAGTGCCAGAAACTGGAGTTAAGAAAAGGATATTTGAAGCAGTTATCTTTGGAGATAGGTGTGCTGTGATTTCTCATACAACACAGCCACCCTGATATGTGAAGAATGGGTGATGTTTTCCCCTTTACTTCAAACTGAGAGATGGCCCTTGGAAGAGAGACCATTATGACCCTAAGAAGACTTGCAGATCCTAAAAAACAGTGCACTGGAATCTGACTCACACATGGAATATTCAAAGGGCAAGAAGCTTGTTGCTTGTTTAGCAAAGTGAAGAGGAGGTGGTACCCTTGGGCAGTTTGAACAACTGAAGTCTCCGAGACAAATAATGCATAAAATGTTTGCTATGAAACACATATAGACCACCCAGAACAAAACCCCATCACCTTAGGTCCTTCATAAGAGGCCACCTTGAAGGGTGATCAGATCTTAAGTTAAGGAGTGGGAAATATCTCCAGCTGCCTAAATGCTGAGGAATGAGTAAACTCAATCTGGAACTGTTACAACTAAGGGAACTATAGTTGATAAGTCTCCAGCAGTGAGTGGAAAAGGAACGTCAAAGTTCAGGAGGAAAAAAAAACTAGAAATGAGTAAGTTTTAAATAGGTACTAAATTACTAGAGCACAAAAGCTAGATGCCCAGTTCTCAACCATTGAAGTAACCACCTAGAGGGGTCCAAATCCAGCTAATTAAGTAGAAAAGGAGGACTAGCAGGACTAAGTGAGTAAAGAGCTTGAAAAGGGAAATATCTCAACTTTAAATCAAGTTCCAATTTTGATTATTAGAGTAGACCTGGGTGTTTTAATTTCTAAATGGAGATCATGTTTTGTGATATATATGTGTGACCATAAGACTTTTTAATACTAAAGAATTAAAATAAAATTGTTTTATGGTTATATCCTATGAAGTATATGTGTTTGAAATACCAGTTTATACATATTAGTATGTAATACAAATATATACCTTATATATTATATGCATATTATTGCATATATTTTATATATAATATATAATATACATAATCACCACCTGCAGTTTATTCTAAAACAATTAGATACAGATATTTTCAGTGGGCCTAGGACAAATTACTTATGTGAGAAATGAATATGAGTTCTAATATATTTAAGACTCACTCTTAGAGTTAGTCATGGTAATATCTATTACTGAGAAATTATAAGCTTTAATGGCTTATAAAAATTTCTAAAAAGGGAAAAATCCAAAATTAAATACTTCTGCATCAGAAAAATAAGTAATTTTTGTTAATAAGTAGGTTTTCTCAAGTCATAGTAAACCTGTAGAAACAGGAATAGAATCTCCTGGACTGGATAAAGTACTTCAGTGGGGCTTCCAAAGTCCTAGATTTTTCCTTGACTTTTTAAAAGTTATTGGTTTTCACCTTAAGGCCACCTACCTGCTGCTACAATATCTTGTAACAACTAAAAAATTAAATCAGAAAGATCTTTTTAAGTATCTATATGTTTGTCACTAAATAAACAATAAGCAAATTTAATTCTTTTTATCCAGATGCTTTGGCATCATTTAGAGGCAGCCCCATGATGCTCTTCTTTTGAATGAGGCCTCCAGCACTGTTTTAAAATTTTCTAGTTCACTATCCTGGACACAAAACGTGCAAGCGACTAGCCATCTCCTCACAATAACTATTTCATTTGGGCCAGTAACTAGTTAAAAAAGGGCAGTTAGACAAACCAAAGCAAAGCACAAGTATTCACTCCATAACACCTACCTTTTTCTACTTTACATAACCCTATGTGATGAAAATGTTGTGTTGTCTATTTGGTTAACTTTTTAAAAGATGATAAACAGATAGGTAGATAGACAGATAGATAGATAGATAGCCTTATTCTTTCTCCCATCCTCTCCGAAACTGGACACAGATTCAACTTAACAAGCCATTTACTGGGTGAATACCATGTACATAATGGCAGGTAGTGGCTGGGCGTTATAATGGGAGTATAGCAGTAATGGAGGAGAGTTTCTGGAGTGTCTCTCTAGTCCTTGTCCTAAAGTGCTCAGCGTCTAGAGCAGGGTCAACACACTTTTCCTGTAAAGGCCAGACAGTATATATTTTCCTCTCTCTGGGCCACCATAGTCTTTATTAGAACGACTTGAGACTACTGTTGTGATGCTGAAGTAGCCAATATGTAAACAAGTGAATGTAGTAGCTCTTTTCCAATAAAACTTTATTTATGGTCACTGAAATTTGAATTTCAATAATTTTCACATGTCACAAAATACTCTTTTGACTGTTTTCAACTTTTAAGAAATGTAGAAAACCTTATTAGCTCACAGGCCATACAAAACTAGGCAGCAGGCTACATTTAATAGTTTGCTGATCCCTGATCTAAAGTAATACATTTTAACCCTGACTGCATCGTAGCACAGTAGGATTGAAGGAGCCTGGGTCCCTGACACCTTAAAGTGACATACTGAACCTGGGTTACTGACCTCTGAACTTATTTGTCTCTGAGTCTCGTATGTGTACCTGTCTCCCTTTAGATCACTGGTTCTCAACCTTGGCTGGACATCAGTACCACCTGGGGAGTTTTTATAGTTACAATTTCCATTCCAGACAGCATCTTTGAGTGGAGCTTGTGTACGAGTATTTTTGAAACAGCTTTCCAGGTGATTCTAAGGTGCAGCCATGGAGGGAATTGCTCAAGACACATCAGAAGTCTCAATGGAGAAAACAAAGAGAAGGCTCTGGAATATAGGGGAGAAGTGTTCTAAAGAGCTAAACTTGACTGTCACAGGAATTAAAAAAAGAAGTTGAAAACAAACTTAGTAGGCAGAAACGCCAGAGGTACAGAAGTAAAATTTTACATCTTCTAAAACCATGGCATTTCAAGAGGTAAGGAGGACATAGTCCCTGACCAAGGGCACAACATTTACCTTAGAATCTGCTATTTCTTCCTCTTCCTCTTTCTACTCTAGGTTCATTCCTGAGGTAAGATTATGTGGGTAAATAACACCTGCATCTTAAGAATTTGCCTTAAAGGCACTGGCACAGATGCTTTACCTGCTTCACCATGGCCACAGACAGAAGGGCCTTGAAATTCAGGAAACTCCACTCTTCCCTGTCTCAGAAGAGATTCAGGAACAATGAGTTCCTGTATGGAGAACAAGCTTTGAGTTTCTCCTTCCCTGTCTTTCAGGGACCCTCCCTTCCCACAGATACCCCAATATTCTGCTCCACAATAGCTAATGTAGGCTGCACTGACCTGCCTCTACCAGACCCACATCCAGCAGACCCTGTTATCTTCCCTTGAAACAAAGCCTGGACTCAACTCTCATAAATATGCTTGAGAGCCCTCATACCTAACTCTGACCTCACCTTGGAATCACCTGGAGCACTTAAAACAACATCGATGTTCCCCCTGAGACCGATTGACAGAATCTATAGGAAAGGGCATAAATAATGATAGTTCTTAAAAATCCACATGGGATTTTTTTTAATTGAAGTATAGTTGATTTACAACATTGTGTTAATTTCTGGTGTACAGCATGTGATTCATTTGTACAAATATATTTATATATCCTTCATATTCTTTTTCACTATAGGTTATGAGAAGCTGTTGACTATAGTTCCCTATGCTATACAGTAGTCCAAGAAGTTAATAAAACCTAATACTGTCTTAATGCCCTAGATTTTCAACCCCAATTTCCTAATAGAAAAATTAAAAGCTGTACAGTATTTATGAATAAAAATATATAATAATAAAAACATTATATGTTCCTTTGGAATTTTCTTTTTGCAGCTTTATTGAGATATAATTGACATGTAACATTGTGTAAGTTGAAGGTGTACAATGAGTTGATTTGATACAATTACATACTGAAAAATTGTTACCACCATACACTTATATATTACAAAATGATTACCACAAGATACTTATATATTATTTCAGATGTTTCATTGTTGTTGTATAGAAGCACAGCTGACTTTGTATCTGGCAACTTTAGTGACTCAATTAGTTTTAAGAATTTTTTTTGGTGGAATCTATATGATTTATCTACATATGAGTGCATTCAGATGCAAATAATGACAATTTCCTTCTTCCTTTTTGATTTGGATGCCTTTTATTTCTTTCTCTCCTCTGACTGCTCTGGCTAGGACTTCCAGTACTATGTTGAATAAGAGTTTTGAGAGTGGGCATCCTTATCTTAATCCTGACCTTGGAGAAAAATTTTTCAACCTTTCACCCTTGATCATGATACTGGCTGTAAGTTTGTCATATATGGCCTTTATTATGTTAAGGTTTGTTCCTTTCAGACCCAATGGGTTTTTATAACATGAAAGGATGTTGTATTTTGTCAGATGCTTTTTCTACATCTCTTGAAATGATCACGTGATCTTTATTTTTCTGTGCTATCAGTAGAAAAGTCTCCTCTTTCATTTCTGACTTCAGTTGAGTCTTCTCCCTTTTTTTCTGTTAGTCCAGCCAGCACTGTGTTAATCTTGTCTATCTTTTCAAAAAAAAAAAACTTGATTTTTTGTATTATTTTTCTGGTCTCTATTTCATTTGTTTCTCCTCTGATTTTGTTATTTCCTTCTTTCTGGTGACTTTGGGCTTAGTTTGTTCTTCTTTACCTAGCTCCTATAGGTGTAAATTTAGGCTTTTCATTTGAGATCTCGCTTTTGTCTTAATGTAGCTGTTTGTCACTATAAAATAACCTCCTAGAACTGTTTGGGGTCATCCCATAGATTTTAGTATGTTGTGTTTCCATTTTAATTTGTTTCAAGATATTTTTAAATTTTTTTTTCAATTTCTTCTTGGACCATTGGTTCTTCAGGAGTACGTTATTTAAATTCCATATATTTGTGAATTTCCCAGCTTTACTCCTGTTAGTGATTTCTAGTTTCATTCAATTATGGTAAGAGAAGATAGTTGGTATGATTTCAACCTTCTTAAATTTTCTAAGATTTGTTTTGTGACGTGTCATATGATTTATCCTGGAAAATGTTCTGTGAGAAAATGTGTATTCTACTGCTGTTGGATGGAATGTTCTATATTTGTTTGTTAGGTCCATTTAGTCTAAAGTGTGGTTCAAACCAACATTTCTTTGTTGATTTTCTCTCTGGATGGTCCATCCATTATTGAAAATGGGCTACTGAAGTTTCCTACTATTATTGTATTGTATCTCTTTCTTTCTTTAGGTCTGTTAGTGTTTGCTTAATATATTTAGGTGCTCTGGTGTTAGATGCATCTATACTTCTGATTGCTATGTCTTCTTGATGAATTGATCCCTTTATATTATATAATATTATATATAGATTATATTATATCATATAATGTATATATGTAATATTATATAATGACCTTCTTTGCTTCTTATTACTATTTTTAGCTAAAAGTCTATTTTGTCTAAGTGAAGCTACTTCAGCCTGAGTATTATTATTTTTGTCATCTTTGCCAGTGTAATCCAAACAAAATGCTATCTCATTTTACTTTGCTTTTTTTATTATTTGTGAATGTATATGAAGGATTTTTCTAAATAACTAACTGTAACTACTCACATGAAGAATTTCATCAGAATGTTACAAAATGATTTTACCCCCCCTTCCCTTTCTTCTCCCTTCTTTCTCTTTCTCACCTCTTTCTTCCCCTTTCAGTCTCTCTTGCTCTCTCTCTGACCAACCCTTTCTTTCTCTTTTTTTCTCTCTCTCTCAACGTGCCTTCCCAGTCTATGGACTGCAGGGGTGCAATGGGACCTGAGGAAAGCTACAAGAAAAAATTTAATTCTACTATATTTGACATATTAAAATAATACTGTCCAGCCTCGCCCTCAACTTTTTCCTTCACTTCACTTTTCTAAAGTTGTACATTTGATTTCTTTGTTCTGTTTACTTAAATTGCAATACTTACAAGTCATGCCTCATTGTCCCTTCTCTTTTATTAATTTTAATTCCTAGGTACTTCATAAATAAAAAAACCACTGATTTTCCTAAATGTCATCTGCAATGACCAAAAAGACTAAAATAATTACCTATGCTTTAATATAATTTCATCTCAGAATAACATATCTGTCTTCAGATTGCCCAAACTTGAAAGTTGGCACATTGAAATTTTGCATTAAAAATTATGAATACATTCTTGGGCAAGGTTATAATTTAATAAACATATCAAAGTTATTTCAACAATCACTTAAGAATTAAGACTATTTAAATGTTGAGTTACCTGAAATTTCATCAGAGTATTCTATTTCACATAATTTTGTTAAGAATGAAAACAGTTACATGATGACCAAAGTGAGAGCTATTTTTTCTTTTTTTTCCTTCTCAGGAAAGACACCTTTCTACTACCACATCAGCTTTAAAGTCAATAACATTGACTATGACAGCAAGTTTGAAAAACCATATTCACAAGAATATATGGACCTAAATAAAAAGATAGTGTCTTTGGTAAGTTGAAATTCTTTTCTTAGCTTTTTTTTAAATGCTGTTTCTTCAAACGACATAATCCTAGCAATCACCTTCCAAGTTGATGACTGATGATTTCATACAATTTCTTACCACTACCTCAGTTCTAAATTAGGGTGGTCAGCCCTGTCAGAAAGTCAGTTAGAAAACATACAGGGAGAAAAAAAGTTTAAGAGGGACACACTTTGAGAACACCTAAAAAATGTCTGATTTGATAGATAGTCAAAGAATATTTATAATGTATTGATAAGTTAAATGAATGAAACTTATTCTACCTCCAAGATACCTGACCAAGGCCAACCTGTTTCTGCTCTTAACTTAAGCAGCCCTTCAAGTAGGAGAAATGGTCAGTGTAGAAGAGCCTAAAATACAGCCTAATATAAAGAGCATCTTGTTGATCCGCAGTGTATGTGAAAATTGTTAAATGTCTTCTTAAGAATATGCTTTGTTACAAGTCAACCTTTACTTAACTAAAGACCTAATGAAGAATCTTGACTGCTGCTTGGAAATAAGCTTCCTTTATCAAAGATACCACTCTAACTAACTCATATAATTCTGTCAACCAAACCAAATTCTGCCAAGAGCCGTGGTGGCATCATTCATCTTCCATTTCCCAGAGAAGATCCCTGACTGGACATTTTCAGACCTAGCTCTCTCTGACTAAAGCTTATAGTTTTTCCATAGCATTCTACTACCTTTGAGTTTCTAATAAATCTGAAGACCTTTAAAGTCTTGGTGTGCTTTTGTCATTATAATAAGAGTTAGTATATAGAAAATGAAGAAAGAAAATCCCCAAAGAAAATGGCAAGGAAGCAGTATAACCCAATGATTAAGAAACAGGCTTTGGACTCAGAGTCCTTGTTCAAGTCTAAGTTTAGCCATTTACTAGCCGCATAGATAAGCTCCTTGGACAAGTCATTTTATCTTCCCACACCTCATTTTCCTCAACTAAAAATGAGATGATAAATACCTATATCATGGGAATGCTCTTGACATTTACGTAAGGTTAAATATGCCATAGTCTTAGCAGAAGTCCTGTTATTCTATAAGTCCTTAAAAAATCTAAAACAATTACCTGAGTATGATTAATAGGCTTAATACATTTTAAGTATATAACAAAATTAAATACAATTTTTAAATAACTCCAAATATGCCTACACTAAGAAATTCACCGTTTCTGCTATAAATTCAAATCAACATGTTCAAATCAACTAACCTATGTTTACTTCACAGAAATATTTAGAAATAAATATTCTAAAACTACCAGTCTGATCAATTATCATATCATCTTGGTTGATCAACCACCAATCCTGACATCTTGCTTCAGGTTCCCTTAGCAGCCTTCATTCCCAGTCCCTAACTCAACCTGTATTAAAACAGCCACCAACTATTTCTCCTACTTTTTCATTGACATGCGTCAGAGCACCTGCTTTTATATGCCTTTCTATTTTCATTTAATATAATACTCCTTGTATTATAACTATTACCAAATACACAATATTCATAAGTAAATAATAGCATGTACCAAATGGAGTTGTGAATCATTCATCAAACTTATCTATTAGTCATTATTATAATGCCTACAGCCTATGTTTCTTCTTCTGAAGATTTCCATTAAATAATTCTTGTGATGATTCACTCAAAAAGGAGAAAAGAAATTGAATAAAGAGAGATGTTGGGTTTTTTCTTTTTTTTTTGGTACCTCTCCATCAGATACGATGCTCAATTACAGTGAACAGAAATTCTAAACTTTAGGAGTGAGGCAGTACCTTAACAATAAAAATTAGCTTTACTGACCAGTACTGGTCTAAGCACTTTATAGATTAACTTATTTGGTTCTCCCAACATTCCCATTTTCCATGTGAAGAAACTGAGGCACAAAGTGGTTAATTTACCCAGTCATACTGCATTCATCTTCTTTATAATGTATTGCCCTAAAATTAATAAGCATGTAAATATTATAAAATCTGAAGCACATTTCAGATTACATCAGTTTTCACAAGACCAGGCAAATATTTCAAAATGTTTAACTAAATTCTGTGTGATTTTCGCATACAAATGCGGTAGATTATGGATGACCAAAATGATACCTGATATGTGTAAGGTATCTAAAATTACCCAGATAAAATATGTCAGCCAAGTTCATACATCAAACTACTTACCAGAGTATCCAAGAGGAGGGGGCATCTTTGGTCATTATATAACCAGGACATTCATCAAATAACAGATTTTCTGCTGAGCTAGCCTAAACCTGGTATGAGCATATGCACACTTATGTATATGCCTCTCCTTGCAGCTTACCAAATGACATTATATATGGAGTTCATTAGAATTAGAATTATGTAATTTTTAAAAGGTTAATAACGTGAAGGATAATATGCATGGTTTCTATTTCATCTAATATAGGTTAGCAATGTTTTAGGTTCAGTAAAAATTATGTTAGTGTTCATTCAGTTTCATGCCCCTCAAAATTTATCAGAAAACTAAAATTCCAGCAGTGGTCCTAAATTCAAGATTACTGTACCTTCTAACCCAGACTATTTTAAAAACAAAATATTTCTCTGACATAGTAAATGAAAATCATTGTGCATAAGTTTCTAACCATGAAGGAACTGAAAAGATCCAAGGTTTAATTTAAAAAATTAAACCAACGTTACAGAGATATTATTCATATTTTAATTGATATGAAGAAAGCTTACAAAAATTACTGATGCACTAGTTTTCTTTTCTATAATTTGAAAATAAGGATAGAAGAAATAAATACTAGATGCTCAGGACAGGATGTCTGCAGACATGGTTGGGGGGTGGTTACTATAAAGTAGCAGAAGGGACCATAGACCCAACTTTCACTCCACATCTGGGACTATCAAACTAGCAAACATGTGCTATATCTTTTGTGTCCACTTTTAGGATATTTGTCACGTGGGAGTAGTATTCTTCTGCCTCTATAACATATCATATTATAATCCTTTGTTACACACTTTAAAGTATAATTTAACAACATAACAACACCACCAAAAAAAAGTTATCTTATATGTTTTTAAGTTTACTTGAAAGAGAGAATTTGAAATACCTGGATTCTTATATAAAAATTAATTATAAAAGAATATGTTAAAGAATACTATATAGTTAACTACACTAAATAATTGGTTTAGGGAATCCAGTTACTTTCTGGAATTTTTTCTTCTCCCTCATATGATATAATTATTTTTATTGATCTTCAGAACGTCCACTTTAGTGTGAGATTTTTCGAAAGACAATCCCTTATGTATAACCATGTCTTTGGGCTTTGGTCAGGTTCCTCTTTATTAAAAACATGTATTGATTGGTATGTTAAGCCTCCTATATTTGATAAGTATTGTAATGACCAATTTCTCACCCAAAGAGGTGGTTTTCATACCATAACTTAAATGATCATGGTTTTTCAGTTAATAGACTCATCCTTGTGTTCATCATTCTGAAGATCTTTCCATCAGTATAGTCTAGAACCTCCTTCCCCTCACTTGCCTAAATGGTGACTTGGAAAACATTTGTGTATTTTTCTTCAGGGAAAAAGGAGGGAACAGAATGGAATAAGGTGAAGAAGCTGGGAAAAGTAAAAAATTAAGTCCATGTGGTATGAAAGATTTGGAGTTTGTGATATGTGTGTCTTTTGACTTCCATTTGAATTTCTAGTCTTGTTCTTCCTTATTTCTGGGGAAATGATTAGTTCTGAAACCCCTGCTCAAGGCCCTGCCCAATAATCCTAAGTCATTTTCTGAAACTTGGCATTTGGTTTCAGGTCAAATATCTGACAACTCTTTTCCTCCAAGGTTTGCCAAGAAACTGACCTTATTAAAAATAGGAATTGCATGAGTATTACTGGAAAAAATCCTATAGATCCTCCTTATAGCTTCCTGGAACACCCTAAGCCTGCAGTTACTAGTCACGCTAAGGATGGCAAGCTTTGGTATTATTTAAGGTGTGTGTTGATCTTATGATCTATTGTGAGGCGTGGGAAGATGAATACAATAAAAAAAAAGTGATGGAGGAGGGTGGGTATAGCTCAGTGGTAGAGCACATGCTTAGCATGCATGAGGTCCTGGGTTCAATACCCAGTACCTCCATCTAAAAAAGGAGGTGGGGAATGGAGAAATTAAGGGCACTAAAACGAAATATGAATAACTTATCTTAAAAAGAGAGAGAGAGAACATTAACTAAAAGCATTACAAGTTTAGCTATACATATTTTGATTTGGAAACAATGCCATATCAAAAACTGGTTCTACAGCATCCATCTTATTAAACAAATACCTCATTAAACAAATAATATATTCTAGGGCTAGGTGTCTGAGTTCATACTGAAGCCTATTTTTAAAAAGCAAGAGTATCATTCAGCAGGCATCATTTTTGATCTTCAGTCTAGTCTCTTTCCCTGGTTTCAGTTTATGGTATTCCCACTCTCCCAACTCACTAGTCACTATACGTTAAAGCCAATTTTGACTCTTCCTTCTCCATTATCTAACCATTCACCAAATCTTATTAATTCTTCCTTTAAAGTAGTTCTAGCCTGACTTCCAAAACAAGATTGCTAATTAAAACAAGCGTTTATCCCTCACTCTCTTCAAAGCTCACTGAAATGATGGAAAACAAACAAACAAACAAAACCCCCAAATGTCTTTCAATGATAGAAATGTTGCTACCAATGGACTGAAAGAGTGAAGAGTTTCTGGAAGATAAAACCTAGAGCTCTGCATAAGAGTAAAATCACAGCAGCACAGTTGCCGGCAAATTCACAACACTCTAGACATAAAACACTAGCCTCTAAGAAAGTGAGTATTCCCAGCAGGAGCTTGGAATGAACTCAAGATCAGAGACAGCAAAGGTTATGAGAGAAAGCCAGAGTGAGTAACTAATTAATTAATTAATTTAAGAAATTAGTTATTTCCACAGGAAATAATATAATGTAAATTAATTAAAGGGCTGAATCAAACATTCTACTAG